TAAGAAATGTTTCGGTCCATTAAGTCGTATACATTTCTTACCATTACCACAATTGGACCTCGTCAGCACGACGACTAAGACAACTCAGAAGATCTGAAAGGTCCTGATTACTGGCGAGAGAAAAAACAGTATGAAAAAAAGGCAGATATGTAGATGTATAACTTATGATAAGACTTCAGCGACTTCAGCGGAAGTGCATTTCCAGGTATCGAAGGTTTTACTAGCGCAGAAGATCAGGATTCGTTCAATCGTATTGAGCGACAGCTGAAAAAACGATTTGCTCTAGGAACGCACGTTTCCGAATATCTTATTATTCAGGATTTTGTTCGGCAAAATTATTCCGAAATGCTTGTCAAAAAGGTATTCACAGTTTTTTCAATACTCACCACCGGGATTTTCCTAATCGGTGTCATATTCACATTCAAGGCGAAGTAGTGGTACTTAATACGCTCACACTAATGACAACTCAAAACGGCTAAAGCATAATTTCAACAGAATGCCTGTACGTGTGTTCAGAAGCGAATGAATTTTGTCACCCACTTTCAACTCAGCAACGAGAAGAGCCATAATGCAACACTGTCGTCCCAGCCGACGCCCTTTCCCCACGAACGCAAGAAAAAACTAGAACGCAGGCACATGAGTTACGCGTGCTAAACTGTGGAGCAACAACCATTCATTCATGCTGTTAACGATCTGATTGCGTTAATTTTAGCGCAAAAAACGCATGATCGCACGGGCAGGCTCGATGCGCTGTTACCTGGGTTTTATGAAAAGGTTACCCGCTAGCTTAAAGTATGTAAGTTAGGTCCTCGTGTATCCAAACGTTGTCCATGCCTGGGCTAAGATCTTGCCAAGTGCTTTTGCTAGACGGTACATTTGCATATTACACGAAACCGAAGGGCAATTGGACAAGGCTAAGGGGGTTGTACCTCCAACTTCGCTTCCTTGTTACTCGCTCTTTCCTCCTTTTGCAACAGTTCGGCTGGTAATCCCTTCAGAAGACGAAACAAACATAGACTGGCCATTGGTCAGCATAGCCAATAGGCTGATTGCTGGGCGATGCGCCACTAGTTAGTTGAAGTAGTAGGCGAGTTATTAGTTATGAGCTGCAACTGATCAATGAAGGAGCGAGCGGAAGGAGGATTCCTCCTTCCCAGCAAGTATTTGAGGCCGGGCGACCTCGGTAATTTTGGTAGATTTAATTTTGAACGACAAAATAAGATTTGCTGGAGACTGAAGAAGAATCGGGTCACCAGACCAAATCTAGGTAAATCTCGAAAAAAACGAGAACCTTCTTGCGGTTGGTCTAGCTGAGCTTTTCACGATGGAGCGTCAGAATTTTGGTTTTTTCTGTCTTAGTTTTTTTTTTTCTTTTTGAATTTCATTTTTTTCCAGTTTTTTTATCTCTCATTTTAGGTAATTCAATCATGTATTCGACGTGGTGAGCTCCAGTATCGTATGCAACGAAAAATGCTTTATCGTGTTAAATGATCATTGCGAAATTCACTTTTTCACTTTCCTATATTTTTTAATTTGTGAACTCTCCATTGGTATTAACGAATTTTGCCCGAAATAAACTGTTTGCATATTGAACCGGACAACATTTTGCACATTTTTATAAAAAAAAAAATTTCATTTTTCTCAAAAAAACAAGTTTTATTAACATTTTAGAAGGGCAAAAATACAATTTTTGTTACACAAAATCACAAATATATGAGGGTAGTGTTTGAACTGAATACGAAGGTACTGATTGGATTGAATAAGGTAGAATATTTCCACTTGAAATTGTCTGAAAATACGAATTTTGTGAATCAGAAATGGGGACTAGTCTTGTTATAAAATGTTCATGGATTTATTGCAGAATGTGTTTGTTTTCACTTTTAAAAAAAATTAAAAAATTTTTAAAAAATCAAAGAAATCAAAGTCAGAAATCGAAAAAAAAAAACAGAAAAAATCAAAAAGAACTCTGCCGTGTTTCATAGGTCGTGAAAAATCAAGATTTGCACCGCAGTTCACTCATTTTGAGAGGCAAAAGCACTCGGAATCGGCTCTGGTGACAACATATACAGACAGTAACCACTAGCTGGCAGCGTGCCAATGATTCCCGTCTTTTGAGAGTTACTTAAAAGGAGGCCGACAGCGGTTCTATCTCTTGGACATGCGTCAGTACCAATTTACCATCGAAACAAATCAACGGGTTGTAAAAAGGCTTTGTTCTACCAGGGCAAGTTTCGGGCACAAGAGCAAAGTTACTTCTGCGTCTTGCCCGATTTTCTCGAAATGATTTATAGTGAATACCTGTATCGTTGAGATCCGCTTCACCGTGCTCCTCTGCTGAATTTCGTCGTCGTACGTCATAGTCATCTGCAGTGATATGAAATACTAATAACATTTTAATAACAAATACTTTGAAATACTAATAACAAGTACTTTCGCGAAACTTATCTTCAAAATTTCCCGGATTTTCGGAATGAATGCCTGTTCTAAGAAAAGAAACACAGATTGCTCCCGAATATGTCTTCTTGCGCAGATTCCTTACCTCCAACTATATTATTACAAAACTTCAGCTTCATGCCAGATTCTGTTGTGCCAGACCCTTCTATCCTTGAGCCGCTTGTTTTCAGTTGGTATTTGCTATATGTCCTGCACACAAGTAAACTTTAAAAGTCACATATGTGTAACGCACGGAGGACTCATTTCATATTTTGTTTTTCATAAGGAAATGATCGGAGTGGCAGCAAATTTATATATTATGGCTGACCATCAATGAAACAGCATCGTCTTGGTCTCGGAGTACTTCGTCGTGGTCTAGTAGAGGCAATGTTAGAAGACGTGATGGTGCTCAGTACATTCCAAAGATATTTCGACACGCCTGGACGCTTTTATAGGAATAACTGTAGAGCCGGTAATCCTCTCAGGCAGTGTAATGGAGGTCAGTTCCACTAGCTGCTGTCCTACAAACTGTGCAACAGACCTTCATTAAGTGCCCAGATGCTGCGCTGGAGGCAAGATTTGGAAACAAAATAGAGGAGGGGAACAAAGGTACTAGTCAGGAGTTCGAGGCAAGAACTGGAAACAGCTGTAAAGAGAAACAGCACAAAGAAAAGTAAACTACGGCTGGACTGTTGCCAACTATGATGGGTTTTTTTTTTTTGAGAGACTATGAATTATATCGAATACAAATATACTTAGCTAAATTTCGCCAAAATAAGCAGTGAGTTACAACTTGATTGTTTATAGCATACATGTACCTGTGAAACTATGTAAGCGCTCCAAAATGCAGCACTGGCAGTGTAGACAGCTAGCATGAATAGCCGATTCGGTTGTACGCCAGTGGAATCGTTGATCGTGTGAAAATAATATGCTGTTACAGACATGCATCGCAGTATTTCAATAAACGGTGCATAAATACTGAAAGTATAAAACCAGTTTGCATAATTTTGCCTAATTCCAAAATTCTAATTTTCTAATTTTTACCTAACGCCAAAGTTCTGTTTTCATTTCCAGTCTTGTTTCCTCAAGTCAATCTCTGGCTTCTTTTTAGCGAGCGATTTTTGATCACCGCATATGTCCAAAAACTCAATGACTTACCTGCAAAAAACTTTCACGGACTCATATGTGGGAACCAACGTGGGCAACGGTGTCTATTTTGGAGATGTATATGCATGTAGATGAAGTTCCCGAAGTTTCAGGTTTGTAGATTTTTTAGGTCTCGAGATGAAAAATCGGTACAGACTCACCAAGCAAACAAATAAACACCCAAGCACAGACAACCCCTTGGCAATATGCGTTTTTGCACTGCATAGATGCAAAAGAAGCATAAAAGCTTCGTTTGCTTGCAGATGATGGAATTCATCTGTAATAGTACATGAAGAAAGCGATCGATCTGATGCACTCGATGTAGTGCGTGTAATAAAGTAGTACACATAAAAAATGAACGCAAGTAGCCCTAAAGCAAGTGACTTGAAGAGTTGTAAAACTCTTACTCAAGCGTTCTTGTTCTGTTTAAAACACGGACCCCATCAGCTTTTAGTCAAAATTTTCTCCAACTGTACCTCCTCGTCTCCGGCCACTGAATAATGAGGAGTTCCGGGCCAGAACAAAGCTTAAAATAGAGCTAACTTTCGATCGAAGAAAGCGCCAAGACACTGCATTGTTGCAACGAAGAAAGCTAGTTTGAGCGTAAAGTCGAGGTAGGAGAGTTGGCCTCGGTCGAACTCAAAATGGAAAAATATTGCCAGAAGTAGTAGGAAATGCCCAAGGCAATATGCCTTCTGCCAGCGCGGTATTGCCGGATTATAGCGGATTACGACGTTTTCGATCTGCAACAGACGTGCTTTGTTTAGCTCACGTAAACTTGTATGTCAATGTGTAGCCTTTTACTGATATGGCATAGCTATCAAAGCTATACATGGATGAACCTGAAAATGGTACTTTCCCAATCCTTGGTAAATGTCACAACAATTGCCACAGAAAAAAAGAAGTATGTATTTTATTATAAGTAGCACTTATGACGCGGAAAAACCAAGTAATTCATTGATATTTTTACTCAAACTCAAAATCCTTTCCACATTTGCTCTCTATTGGAGGAAACGACATTCAGGAAGTAGCTCGAGTGGTAGCAAATACTAGTAGCAACCAAACATTGAAAAGGCTGTCGATGCTTCCTTTTTTGTGGATTACCACTTGTAAGCTGATAATGAGTTTGACTCCCCGGCTTGCACCAATACCAATTTACCATCGAAATGAATGACCAAATCGTTGAGGAATGGCTTGCCTCAACGGTGGAGTCAAAATTACTACCTTTTTGTTGTTGTTTTTCATAAAAATGATAATTCTCACTGCGAATATGCGCCGATTGATGTGTTTAATAAATTAATAAAAAATTACTTGATAAAATCATAAATTGATCTATTTAATAAAATCACAAAATGGCAAATCAAAATGGATAAATTGTGTGTGTGTGTTTTTTTTTTTGAAAAACAATAACAAAAAGACAAAAATAGTTTAAGTACTTTCTGAATACATGCAGTTATCGACCTATAAGTGATTATTGTTTAGATTGCTTCCTGTTAACTCCGAACTAACTGCATCTGATGTTTTTTGATACGATATTTTACTTTGATACTTTGATTAGCTGGTGCAAGTTCATAGCAATTTTTCCAACTGCTTTGACCAATATCTCCTCACTTGTTGGCCAATTTGCAACGGTCTCGATGTCCGTTTACCCTCCAAAGGATCAACCAATTCAACCGAAAGGTTGGCTTTGGCTAGAGCATTAAAACAAGACTTTAGCCATTTCGAGATGCCTTCGGTGTTTGTTGAGCATTACTACCTCACTTTAAACATAGACACAAAGAAATGGAATTTTATCGACTAAGAGTTTATCTCAAAAGCATAAAATATTAAAAAACTGTAAACAAAAAAAAAAAAACTACCGGTGGGACGCCTTCTTCATGATCAACCATCGAAAACCAGTGAAAATATAAGCGAACTTTCATTCCTGGCCTATAAACTGGTGGATAAAAAATAGCTTTCAGCTTCTCAATTCCACGAAATACCGGTTCACCTTTTGCAGTCTTCGTCCGCCATTTTACAAACAGCATATCGTACAAAGCATGGAACTAAAAAAAATTGCACCGGTCCTTTAGTAACAACTCATTTGGTCAAAAGTCGCGTTGTACTCCATAAAAGAACTAGACATGATTTCTTTTTATTGTTACTCATGATAATAATCATGAGTTTTTTATGCGTTTTTGCTGTGCAGCGCTATAGCAGCGCTAATATGCGTTTTTGCTGGCTGTAGCAGCGCTATAGCGCTGCTACAGCCAGCAAAAACGCATATTATCGAGAGGCTGTGTGTGTGTGTTCGCAATGCGAGTGCATTTTGTCACCCACTTTCAACT